AATTGTTTACGTTCATGAATTGATGGGATAACCACCAGAGCGGCCAATGACTTTCAAGCGGAGACAATCGGTTTAAATACTTGGATGCATTCAATATTATATACATATATGTTCAACATATTATTCCGGAAATTTGTTTGCTCTTAGTATGATAATAGCTCTATTACTAGTATATAAAATTTTACAGAAAATAGTGCTTGATATATTTTTATAAATAACTAGATCAACACAGTAAATATTGTATGTAGGTAATTGAAACACGCTGCCTTTTCCGAAATTGAAGTATGTTATTGATGCGAACCTAATATGTTTTAATAAAAAAAAATTTGTTCACTTTTTACTATAATTTTAGTGATGGAATGGTTACAGCAATAGGAAATTTTATTCGTTTTTAATGTACCTTACGTCTAGTGCTCAAAGTTTTATATTTTCCTATGTGGTTATTGCGTCCTACAACTAACTATAAATATTATTTTTATTTCGCTCTCCCGGAGGTACATTACCTATTAAAATCTAATAAATTTATATTTATATAATGACTACTCTGAGTTTATGTTCAAAAACTCTTTGGAGATTTGCAGTCGCATCCCGTGTATGCTCTTAAGGCTATCTCTAATTCAAACAATGACAAGTGAAGAGATAATATCTGGACACGCCTTTGTTTTTATCTTTTGATGTGATTCGTTATTAATAGAGGTCATTTTTGCTTGACGCCTTTAAACCAAAGAAATTACTTGAGTGATGTCATAAAGTGTAGTCGGTCAATTGTAACATTTTATATTATTACTGCTTTTAAAATTTGATAACTAAGTACTACTTTATTTTTGTCTTTGTGTGTTTTTGATGTTATTTCATTTGGTATATTTGCTTTATTAATGGTTAATTATGAATTGCATGTAATCCATCAGATCCGAACCAAATCCAATTCAGGACTGTGCTAACAACAAAATCGAGATTCCATACTTTAAATGTATAGGTGTTGAAACTACAAACGAGTCCAACTTAGAGTGTCGAAGTTTTTTAAGAATCGAAATGTATCGAGACCAAAGTCCGAGGGATCGTATCTTCTAACCCAAAGTAATGTCAAACCACGAAATTTATATCGTACCACAGCAGTATCTTGTTATTTATAGCATATGAATAAGTTTCGAAAGAAAAAGTCGGAGCCAGATGGCAACATGGGCTCAATTTGCAAACATTATGCTCCCTGTTCGGCGATTTACGATCGAAATTTTTGTTTATACTTTTATTACTACGGTCTTGTGTTAGGATCCTAATGAGGTGGGCTCGCATTAAATTGGATAAAATGTATCTTTTTATGACTGTTATTGAGATTCGCACTGGATGGTAGGGGATGGAACATTTTTCGAGTTTTTGCTCAGTAATGTATGATACTTGTTAATGCATTAACTTCTTATACGTTTTGTTTAAGGACCCGATCCCATTTAACCGCTTTCATGCTCAAGTTTTTGTGTTCTCGAAACGAATACGATATATATTTTTCGATTAAACTTTTTTGATGTGATTGGTCGTGAACATGATCCATAGTAAAAAATTTAAACTTTCTTTTCATTGTACTGTTCTGAGACGAACAATACGTCTACAGGCTACATAAATGAATCATGAATTGTATAAACTAATGCTTTATATTCCCACGGATTTTAATTCCACATACACTAAATGATGGCTATTGTTATAATGGGATTGGTCGGGAAGTCATAAATTCCGCTCGAATAATCACTCTATCCAACATGATGTTTTGTTGAAACGTATTGATTCATATTTGTTATCCCTTAAATTGGACATTAAAATATCTATCGTTAAATCTGATACAGAAATTACACCTTTTTATTGGTATATCTAATATTTCTAAATAACTTCACATGATAGTAGTACTCTCTTATAAGTATTGTATATTTTTGTTCCAATAGCAATTCTGTTAGGTGTACAATTGTACGGACATTTCGTTATACTAGTCACGTCAAACCGATTACATTTCGATTGCATTGATCGTTAACGCGGAGGGTCGCGAATAATGGGAATCGTTTCCACAGAACCCTTCCCAAATATATTCTTTTCTTAGAGCCTCTGAAATAAACGCCTCTCGTATAAGGTCATATATTTATAATGAGAATTGAATAGATCAGAAAGTTGGGGATATTTCTAGTAATCAGTATACTAGAATTCTTATTATACGATGTAGTAATAAAACACCGCCTCGTTTAACGTCCACGAAAAAACAAATCCAACATCGGTGTCCGATGACAGAACAAATCCTATTGTTTAGCGTCAATCGATTTTGTTGCCTCTCACCAAATGTGGCGACGTCTTAAACGATTTATTAAACTTTCGGTTCTTCGATTCTACTATTAAATTACTATTATTATTGGATACGTTTTAATAGTATAAAATTTAAGGTTTTTAGACTTGTATTCAGATATATAATTTGATTATCTTCAAAACTTAACGAAAACAATATTCTAAGGCTTCGTCAATAACTTTTGTGTTTATTTAAATGAGGATGAAATTTTATCGTACAAATATTTATTTATATGTTCGTTTTTCATATCAAATATTAAACTATCTAAACAACCTTAATTTAGAGTGTTGAAATGAAAATCTTTAGTAATCAGAAATTATTGTGCATGTTAAACTCCTATAAATAGTATTCCTGGAATTAAAAACATATTATAAAAATGAAATGTTACATCCTAACAATAATTTGAGTATGAGCAATAAAATTATTATTGATACTGTAAATAACTGACCCCATGTTGTGAGGTTCTCCTCGTTTTATATACGTACATATGTAAATACATTTTATGGAGACTGGAGTCTGGAGTCCCGAGGCGTATTTTTCATCTCGATAATAATTATGTGAAATAAAAACAAAGTGAATGCCCGTAAGTATCCAAAATAACAGCCATCCCTCGTTTTTGGTAATGATTTCATAAAAGGATTAAATCGTGTGCTTAAATTTAAGGCCTGGGAAGAATTCCAAAACTTCTTGTGTGAAAGATCCGCAAAAAGAGAATTGTTTGACATGTATTAAAGCATTTTAGGAGCCACATTGTAACAATAACCCATAAAATTATATACAGTTTTTCATTTCGTTCGTTTTTATGAATATCGTAATTTTTGGAGCCATTGAAATAATATGTTTAGATAAGTTTAATTTGGTAATAGCACAAATTTAAAGATGTTTTATTTCTATGAATAATAGAACAATAAAAAGGAGAAGCAAGTAACTCGATACAGCCCGCACACCTTAAACTAACTATACAATTAGCATTAAATCGCACGTTTGCACAGTCGTTTACTTCAATGGATTTATAGGTACTTATGATCATTATCTCATTTGTAACAACTATAAATATTCTAGAATAAGCAAGGAATATGTAAATATGGACATTTGAATAAATTGCTACTGATTTGCGCTTTTCTTGCTACGGAAGCGACCCGACACCTACAATTCTTTATCTTTCTTACACGCTACAGGTTCTAAATATTTAAATGAACTTGGACAATTTATTGTTTTCGTTTGTATTATAAAAATAAGTAAAGTTTTCTTTAGCGGAATATCGTCTTTCATATTGATTTACGTCCAAATATTTTATAAAGTTTGACTCGCACGACCAGCAATCATACAGTTTATTTAAAACATGATGTATTCGATTACATCAAACACGATCTGTTCCAATGCTGATTATAGTTCAGACATAAAACATATGCTCCAATAAATCACGGTAGTGTACATTGTGCAATCTCTTTTATTTTAGCGAGCGTGGCTTAGCATAAGGCAGAGTAATTTTCCTCGTTTAATCTTGGAAGCGGCTCAAAATTTCTATGTTCTAAATTTTTATGCTTAATATCAAACGTTGCAGTTATCTGGGGTATCAACGTCTTATGTTAATTTGATACTAAATTATAATATAAGTTTATCCAAAACATTTTATTCAAAATACTTTATTATTTTTGTTAATGTTACACGAACCGAATTAGACGAACCAAAGCAAATTGTAAATTATTTCAAAGGGACGAACAACTTTCAACTGTCGGAGTTTCGCTTCGATTGATACGAGTTTTACATGGAATCTCTTTGATCTACAAATAATGACCCACGTGTTACGATCGGGGAAATATCTTTCGACAAATACATTTATTTTGTTGTGATTAAACAATGTTTCAATCGCATGCACTATTCCATTAATCTTACCATTGAATAGTTATGTGTGATTTCAGATAAATACATCTATCTCTTCTTAGATGTGGTTGTTAAATTTATATAATATACATTTAAATGTTATACTGGATTATTTCCGACGCAGAAAACTGTCCATATTTGTCTAGAAAGCGTTGATATACGAAAAGGGTCTGAAATGTTAATGTATTTTATATTTTTGACGGCCGCCCTCATCACCAGACAAGAGGATGGGGAGTTAGTGAAGAAATCGTCGGCCAGTGGATAAACGTCTTCGTTGACATTATTTGATATGTTTTGGAATAAACGAAGTGAAACAATGAGGGTCCGCAGTCGACATATATGATAACATTAGTTTCTTTCGTTCACATCGCTTTGTCATCTTTATATTAGAAATATGAAATGTTACACTCTCATTATTCCCTTGTAATATATAACATAACACGATGTTATGCTCAGATACCGAAGATACTATTTTCTTTTTTCGTACATTAAATATAAAACGAGCTATGAATAAGCTTTAGGAAAACTAAAAGTAAGAAAACTTAACGGCATCGGCGGGCGAGTAAATAACCGGGAGTTGAAAGCGAGCTTTATACTGATTCATTCATAAAACTATCTTGAATAGTATTATTTTAAAGTAAGGATGTTATCAACGTATTATATGAGTGTTCTCGTTTGTCTGCAGGTACAGTGAGAAGTGCTTAGCCAATGTTAAGGTGGTGGCAGCTATAGTGTATTATTGAATGTGGCGTATCGGAAGCTGATCGAGCTGGCGTGGTACGGTAGCGGGGGGGCGATGCAGGCGGGAGGGGGGTGGTTTGTGCCTTGGACGATGGGGGTGCAAAAGTTCGCGGTAGCACTACCGATGGGTGGTGTGGTGCCATTGGTACCACCACTGTTAGCGGCCTTACCACCACAGCCACCACCGCTCAGACTCATCGCACCGCCCTTGGCGCATCAATCGCAGTCTGGCAGGAAGGTGAGATAGAATAAGCATTAATAGAGCTCTAATACTAATCAGATATTTTTAAGGTTATGTTTCAAATATTTAAACCCAGCAAAAAGTATGAGAAACTTTGGACCTTTATCATCAAGTGCGTTACAATTAAAATTTCTTGAAAACTTGCACGCGGCACAATAAGCAATCTAGACTAAATATTTCCTCTTTTATACTAAAAAGAAAAGAACAGTCGATAAAAATATGTTTATTTTTTTCTTAAAAACAAACCGTAATTTATCATATGTTTCGAACAAAAGTACACCAGCTGATATAAAGAAGAAAAAGAATTCTGCCAAAACAAACACATAATGGAAAAGGCGTCACTTGATAAGGGTTAAAATATTACAACCTTCATAAAACTGAACCCTTAATAGCTGACCTGTATAGATAAAGACATTCTTTATCTTATATTATTTGACCTTCGTCTACCTTCAAATATCATTATGCCGGATTAGTTTACGACTTATATCTTTCTTCTCTATAATATTTCGAATACTCAAAAACAAATAAAAATCCTGAAGTTTTAAACGGGAAACATTTGATTATTATAATATTCATTCTACGGATAAATAAACTAACAACATTTCATTAATGTTGTTTCAAACAAGATATTCATTAGTATCAAATAAAATAACATGATCTACAGCGGATATCAAAAAATATTTTTTACTATTACAACCGCACACCTGTCCCCTGCCTGTATACGGTATGGCCAGTCAGCTTTACTTTTAATGTTTATTTTTTATCGTCCTCACTACATATAAATTGTACTCTTTAATACATCTCATTGTCGTTTATAGTCTTGATCTGCGTGAGAAAATTTTAACCCGTCCTTACTTTATATGGTCGTCTAAATCTATAGGTTTTAAATTATGTTTCAGATAACATATGCTATTTAGATTCCTACCAGGTCTCACTTAATACTATAGATCAATCCGTCTGACAGTACTTAGTATAAGTATTGATAACATTTCCTGTAGGATTATTATTCATTTCATCATGTGTGGCATCGTGTAGACCGAGGTCGCTAGCCGCTTGTTATGTTCAAAAGAATTTTAATATTTATCCTGAGACATGTCATTCTTGCTTTAACCTTAATATATGCTGAAGATAGAAACTATTTAACTAGTCCCGATCATTAATATTAAAGGTCGGACTACTTAATGGCTGTGCAATTTATTTGGAACTTAATCTTGATGGAGGGCCGTATTTGTGACGTATTAGCGGTTAATATAGACGTGACTACCATAATACATTATAGGAAAGGTTATTCATCATTATTATTACTGTATATTTAAATTTTATTTTTACATGGGTCGAACGATAATACAGATTTCGTCAATCCAAAACCGAACGCGTAACACACACGCTATAAAACTAAATTAATGATACAAATAATTTAACTTCAAAGCCCAATATTGTAAGCATGTTATGGAACGCGATCGAGACAGTTAGAAAATAAATATTTTCTTTAAATAATGTGATCTCCACAACTTTATATGTTGGTCAATCAGTATGGTACGTCTATTTTAAAACACAGACGCCATTCCGTTTATCGCATTCAAAGTTACATCTCGTTTTATTCGCGTTGTTGGTGGCCACATGGACTCTAATTAAAACATCCGAACTAAATTCAACATGCTCTTGATTAATGTCTGGTCTCCGTCAAAATTTAATTGTAGTATTTAAGTTATAAATCTCTCCTTAATTGCCGAGATGCAGCGCTTTGAGATCATTTGCTAACTTGCCCGCAAATTAATACAGCCACGTTCATTATAAAATGCGAATCAGATAATTCACAGTTTTATTCATTCTAAGATAGTAGGAGATGTAAACGTATACATGCTTTTATATATTGCTTAAGTTTTATAAATTTTTTTGTATTCATTTTTTAGCTACCCGATAAAAATCGAAGCTCTATGATATAAATTTTTTGTTATAGTTATGGATGGATATATAGATATGTGGATATTCATATGGATATATGTATAGATATAATTAATTACAAAGTTAACAAATGGTATAACCAAAAACAAATAAAAAATCTTTTCAAACAAACACACTGCATGACGCAGCTCATAAAATACCCTTCTTGTTATGTCCGTTTATCCTTTTTCGAAACAGAGTTATAATTTTATATTTTAATTGATATACAGAAGATATAACATGCGCAGCTTTCAATTAAGATAAATGAATGTCTTTGTCTTTCGATCTCCTGTAATTTGTATAATTGAGAATAATCGGTCGTTTAAATACGATATTTGTGAAGCAATAAATTACTATTGTTGTTCTATTTACATAAACATCTGAATAAGTTATTTATGGGGATCGCGATAGGATTATTTATGGTTAATAAGGTGAAATTCCTCACTATCGATAGCTATCAGTGCCGCCTCAATGGTGGCACTAACATTTTTTCACGATGACTTTTGATAATTTTTTAACATATTTTTTTTTTAAATTGTCAAACACATTAAGGATTATTTATACGAAACTTTTTTACATAATTCAATAATTTACTAAGAAGTTCAAGGCCTCAATTTGTTCAATACTTGAATAAGTTCTCATATTACACAGAGTATTAAAAAAAACCCAAGTGACTTTATTAAAAGCGAATCTATACCCTTTTTATGTAAATTCCCTCTCACAAGGCAGCTCTGTACACGATATAAAAAATAAGAATATATCAATATAATTTCATACTTTAAATGAATGCGACAGTAACGCGTTAATGTCTTTTACTTATATGGACACGTCGGGTAGCTTAATAGCTGTTCAACGTACGTAGTCCATCGAGATTATAGACAGTGTATTGCCATGTTGATAATGGAAAATGGTATTAATATCACAATATCATAAGGTACACAATCGTTTGCTGCAATTGATGTGATAAAGATGGCATTAGATGTGTTATTGTATAAATGCAGTGCTCATTCATATTTCAATACCTTGTTGTTGAACTGAAAAGACTTGTTTGACAAAATTGTCTCGTACAATACATACAAGATTTATTAATGTTTTTATAAACTTGAACTTGCACATTTTTCTACGAATGTATTAATTTGGTCTTTCAAGTGAAGCTACTAGAATTGCAGTTGAAAAATTTTATCAATAGCATTTCGTGTTATCTGTCAAGTTTGTTCATAAAAGATTTTCTTTTGAATAACAATAAATAAAATGAAATTATTTGATTACAAAATTTTGGTCACATTTCTTTCCGAAACCTTCAATTTGATGTAATATATATTTTGTTCTCATATATATGTATATTCTACGTTATTTTTCTTATAATCTCCCACCACGGTACATTTCCTCACCCTTCCTTAAATAATATATCACGTATTTTAAAAGCATTCCTGATCCAGCTTAGCCTCACCTGCCGTTTACGTTTTTGTATTGTGGAAAATGTTGCCTTTTACCATGTTTTATCTTTCATTCGTGTTTGATATTTGTAGATACAATCTGTAATATATATACTACGTGTAAAAACTAAAACACAACACTTTTAACACTATTACACAGTAATCTCAAAAAAGACAAAACAAAAAATGCATCTGCAAAAGAGCTCAACAAAAAATAGTAAAGCTGGGATTACGTTGCGCCCTGTCTGCACTCCATTATATTAAAGGGATTAATGGAAATATTTTCTCCCAAGTTTTTTAAAGATATATTTAAATATTTCGCAACAAATAAGTTATCTGTGTATAGAAATTCCTCTTCTTTCATGGCATTTTGTATCGGAGAATTAGTGTCGCTCCAACAAGATTAGGTTTTCACAAATAGAATTAAATCACAAATCGTGAAACCAACGTTCAATCCATTCATCGATTCAAAATCATTCTTCTATTCGAGTCACGTGATGTGCATCGAGTCGGTAAACGCAAACATTTGAGTACGGTATGACATTTTGTAATCATACGCTCAAAGGAATACGGCCCTTATTTCTCTTTACCCAGAAACGTCAATCGCATAATGGATATCGAATTTAACATAAAGTAAATTTATACATATGCATCCATTGTAAAATATAACTTATTTTCTAACATCACGACTGATATTTGCATGTTAAATTGTTTTGTGTCATGACGTGTATAGAATTTAAAACAGACGATCCCTTATTACGAAATCAAGTAGGTTTGTGGGGAAATGAGTAATTGAATATATGGAATTTATTTTGATATTGTTATATGTGAATAAATTAAGGCAAGTTGAGTACATTAATGTGAGACTAGGAGTTTGTTTGTTCGACATCAATCAATATAAACCACCTGATGCAAAAAGGCCTGCGCTGTAAACCAAGCAGGTTTCACTGGCGTTGTGCCAATCTATTTACTATTCATACAGACAGATTTATTTTTTGAAGTGCTTTCTATATACAGTAATCTGTGTTGCTGAGTGCATTGCAACTAAAATTTCGGAAACTTCGTTGTAATCTCACCTAACTTGTGGGGATTGCGGTCTCGTGATTTTAGCTTGATTGTCCGGGCTTTATCATTTAAATTCCAGAAATAGGTTAACGTAAGAAAATGTTGGAATAATGGAAAAAAAGATATTATTTGTTAATTTAAATTGTATATTAAAATAACACAATAAGAAAATTATTCAAAACATATTTAACACTCTTCGTAAATGTAAACTTCAATTGTTTTTTGAATTTCATAAAAATTCACGCAATGCATTCTTCTTGTATAAATCCATAAAATATGCAAATAGGCTCGAAGAATGATCACAGACAACATGTTAAAGAAATACCATGTATTGATAACAAAATACATACAATGGAACTAAAAGTTTAAATCCAAACTTCAAGAACTAAGACAGTGCAAATTTGATATATGTATATATATTGATATTCGATATACACATATATCAAAACTTATATTTATCTTATAAAATGCCCAATACTTATAATTTATACTCTATTATAAAAGTAGCCTCAAGCAATATTTTCTTAATATTAATATTTTTCAGTTTCTCCC